TTTTGCACCACTGTAGCTTGTTGCAAAGGCACAGACTGGTTGGGCACCTCATTGCAAGCACAGCCTCCTCCCTCCTTCCCCAGCGACCACTTCCCACCTGCAGGGGAGAACAATTTCCATCCTGCCAATATTCCTGGCCCTCCTAAGGGATCCTTCTCCCTCTTTTCCCAACTGCATTCCCAATAGAAGGCTGGCAGGAAGCCCAGCTGCGTTCTGCACCACCACGTTCTGCAGTAAGGCTTGCCCCAGTCAACGCTGGGACACCAGGAGATGTGGATTTGTGCAAGATTTTCTAAGGATTGCTTAGGAATTCAAAACGAAAAGAGACTTAAACAATAAAAATAAAAAGACATTAAGCCTTGAACACATTGCTCGGATGCTCATTTAATTGATCCCGTTCTTCTCATAGCGCATATGCCAAATTATAGGCAGGAGAAGAACCTGAAGGAATTAATGGAACGCCTGTCATTAATTGTGACGTAAACGAATCAAACCACTTGGCAAAGGCTCTAAGCACATGCTATAATGTCTTTTTCCATCTCGGGTGTTTCTAGACACCTTACAATGTGTGGTATTTGCCTCCCTTGTAGGGGCATGATGTGAAATACATTGACGGGTTCCCCACATCCATGGGCAGCGCAGCTCTGCGTATCTTCCATCTCACTCCTCCCGTGTCCATTCCCAGAAAGCTGTTTGTCCTTGAAAGCTGGGAGATGAAAGAACCCCACGCACTGTAATCACAATTCCTTACCTGAGGAATTTCAAAAATGTCCTAAACGTCGAGGAAAACAATTATAGCAATTGAACTGATGGTGATCTGCTTCTGATATTTGTTCCATGACTACCGGGCAATGGAAGCATGCAGAGAACCGCACTGATTTCTGTGGGTCCTAGAAACCATATATAAGTGCTCCCAACCCTGAGCTCCTCACACCACTTCTCTTGGTTTACTCTCCTCGGTGAACTTGGTGAGTGCAGACCCAATTCATTCACTTGGAGTCTCCATTAACATAGAAATTATTCTGTTACTAACATGCTCTGATTTGTAACAAGGGTAGAAATATTGTGTCCTGTACTTTTCTAAGCTGTTACAGTAAAAATAAGAGGGTGTTGATGAGAAAAAAACTAAGAAAAAGGGATTTGGGTATCATCGATTCAGCCTTGAAAGGAGTTTTACCTCTATGTATTAGGAAGAAACGGCTCTATTCCATTTAAACAGACAGAGAAAAAATATTTCTGTTCCTTTTGACTTGGTGACAATCAGCACTGGTTGAAATGTTTGATAATGGGCAGAACTGTGCATTAGGCAAAGTAGAAACTGCTGTTGATGGAAAGATGTTGCAATGATGAATGCAGGCATGTGACGTGAATTGCTCTGCTTGTATCCTCACTAGAACTGGCACACGCAGGGTGCATGAACCAAAGTCAGAAATCTGTGTCAGACAGAACAAGGAATAGTTTTTGAGTTGAAAAGAAGACAAGATTTTTGTGCTCCAAAGAAATCTGCCAGCAGGTCCATCTGGCTGTGGTGATGGGCACCCTGCTCTGGGTGGCTCTCCTGGAGCAGAGATGGGACCGAACCAGGAGCACTGTGCATGAATTTTTCTGAAATACATTCTGAAAACACAGTGTGGGATTCCTATCAGCCATTAGGACACCCTCATGCACACGCCCTGAGCTGCAGCAGGGATTGACCTCAGCTGCCCATCCTGGGAGCTCAGACACCAAGCGCTCTCAAACACCTGCATTTGGGTGTCTGCATCTGCAGGCTGCATCTCCTGTAGCCTAAGTCCAAAAATACAAGATGCTGCGTTCACATTTTAAGAATAGAGCCTATAGAATAGAAACTGTCTCAGGGTTGAACCTATTGAGGGCATACAGGAATGGGCTGGATAAAAACGGATATCAAAAGCACATCCCAAGGCTGAGAGATTTTTTCATCACCTCTCAAATCCCCCATCCTCACACCCCAAGCCACTGCTGCTCCCTACAAGATAAGCTCCCCCCCCTTCACCTCTTGCTGTTTGCAGGTTTACCTCCCACCTCCTCCCCCAAGATGTCCTGCTACTACCTGTGCTGCTCCCCGAGCTACAGGACCGTCAGGACCACCCGCCGTACCTACAGCTACTGCCGGCCCTGCTACACCTCCTGCTGCAGCCCCTGCTATTCCTCCTGCTACAGACCCTGCTACACCTCCTGCTACAGACCCTGCTACACCTCCCGCTACACCTCCTACTGCAGCCCCTGCTACACCTCCTACTGCAGCCCCTGCAGCTACCGCAGCTGCTACACCCGCTACTGCTACCCCTCCTACCGCATCTACAGCTCTGGGTGCTGCTACTGATAAACCCAACCCGACGTGGCTCATCTCAGCACATTGAGCAGTGCTGAGCCCCTCCTGCAGCAGCTGAAGTTACTAACAATGGGGAGCTTGGCTGCTTTCTAGGATCTCTCAGCACTTCTGTATTACTTGCTCTCTTTCCTTCTTCCTGCATTTCTCAGCTATGAGCTCTCTCAATAGTCGCCTGCATTTTAGACCCCTTTGGCAGTGGTGAGAACAACTTGCAGTTCTTTTGGAGCTTCTTCCAGTTGCCTCAGCATTGTTAAAGAACTTCTGCAGCCAGCAAAACTAACCCAAGTCATCTGCATTTTCACTAAGTGCTTCCAACAAGGTGCTGCAGCGCTGCGTAATGGAGAAACATTCTGGCTATGCCTCCTTTGATCTGGATTTACAAGTGCCTTAAGAACAAGCAACACAGCTTCAACAAAAAAGAATGTTCTGTGCAGCGTAGCATGGTGACTCATCGACTCCAGCATGCCAAAACTATAATCTTTCTGTATCTGTGTCAACTTTTCTTCTTACTGCATTAAAATTCTCTGCGTGAGAAAAAAAAAACCCAAGTTCCAGTCCTCTTTTGTCAGTCCCTTGGTTATGTGGATATGGGGAGGGCAGTGGCGTTCAGAAGGGAAATTCTGCCCCAGAATGCATGCAGAACGGCTGGCCGAAGGAAATGTGCTGTATTTCTCACTCTAAACCTCAGAAATTTGAGGAATTTCATGATTTCTCCTTTGTCTTTATTAAATCTATTCCAGATTGAAGGTTCATATATTTTAGCATAACAGGGCTGTGAATGTCTTCATTATACTTAAAATAGAAGACTGTGTACCAGACCTCTATAGAGAATAGATAAAAAATGTTCAGATGAGTTGAGTTTCCTACAAACCAAATTCAGGTTTTAAACTGCAAGAGGGGAGATTTAGACTAGATATTAGGAAGAAATTCTTTACTGAGAGGGTGGTGAGACACTGGAACTGGTTGCCCAGAGAAGTTATAGATGCTCTCTCCCTGGAAGCATTGAAGGTCAGGTTGGATGGGGCTGTGAGCCACCTGGTCTATTGGGAGGTGTCCCTGCCTATAGCAGGGGGTTGAAATTAGATGATCTTAAACGTCCCTTCCAACTCAAACCATTCTATGAGTCTCTGATATGATTCTATGAAATGTTCTTCATGCAGAACAGTTCCCAACCCTATTACCATCCATAAGACAAATTGCATTAGCAGCTGGTGGAGTTTAATATATATATATACACCAACTAAATCCAGGGACTAAGAATTAGGGGAGAGAGAACAAAAAAAAAAATGGAAAAAAAGGAGGCAGCTTTTGAAACAAAACAATACACAGCTCTCATCATCCCTATGGCATTTTGGCAGCTCTTGGCGGCCATAGCCGCTGGTCAGGGAAGTGGTGAGGAAAGCACCATCATCATCCTCACCACACAGCCACAGTCATTCATTTAAGCCAACCCTCTGCCCATAAAGGCCAATGAAAAAAAAAAAAAAGTTAGGAAAAGCCAGTCATGATCCAACTGTCTTCCACACTGTGGGATCTGAGCTCTTTCCCACGACCCTGCAGACAAAAATGCCTTGCTGTTTTCCCTTTGGAAGCACTGGGCATCCATTTCTTCTAACAAAACATTCACCTCCTACCTCTCTACTGGAGAACCCCTAATAGATAAAACACGATCTTCCAAAATTAAATCAGGATTACCCATTAAGTACAGGAGTTTGCAATCACCTGCATGACCTCCTCAAAATCGCAGAATGGGACAGATTGAAAGGAGCCTTAAAAAGATCACCAGGTCCAACTTCCATGGGAAAAGGGAGCATGGATGGGACAGGTTGAAAGGAGCCTTAAGAAGATCACCAGGTCCAACTTCCATGGGAAAAGGAGCGTGATGTGGCTCCAATGGACCTGGTGTCACAGGTCACAGCTGCTGAGGAGTCCTGTCCTAATCACATCCCATTAGCCCAACAGGAGCACCCACGTGTTTTTAAATGAACCACTGGTTTGAAGTACACAAAGCAGGAGCCTGGTGCTGCTGAAAAATGCAGAGATGCAGTTGAACTTTGTTGCAGCTGCACATAGTTGTGTTTCCCAGTGCCAGGAGGATCTGTGACAGAATCCAGGAGTGCACAAAGGTAAGGATAACTTTCAGACATCACATCTGTGATGCTCTTGAAATGGAAGTGAAAAATTTAAAACAAAAAAAATACCCAAAAACACAGAAATACAGTATTGATGAAGCACAGATTTTAATATGAAAGGCAGATATATTCCAGAACAGAAAGACTACATTCCCCAAGGCATAGTACACCGTGCCTGTAACTATTCATTCAGAATACATTTTGAACATCACTGCAACAAACACAAAAGCCAGACACTCCAGCAGCATTTCTGGAGTTTGTACAGAATGGGTGTTGAGGAGAAGCAAGCTTTTGCTCCTGCAGTGGATGAAGAGGAGAGTTTGGGAGGCGAGACAGCAAACAGAGCAGGAAAAGATCATTCATTTTGAGCGCTTGGGCAGCAGAGCAGAGCCTCAGTGCCTCCGCAGAGGGAAGCTGCTGTCACTGGGCTCTGTGCATTGGGAAGACGCCGCCAAGATTCGTCATCATTCCAGACTGGGGTTGATCCTCACATATCAGCACCACTGCTGCTGGGTTTACCAGCCCCCGTAGCTGTAGCGTTGACCGTATCGTGAACCGAAGTGGTGACCGTAGCGGCTGCTGTACCAGCCGGGGTAGCTATAGCAGTCCCCATACAGGCCTCTGTAGCCACCATTCAGACCTCCAAAGCCATAGTGGTCCCTAGAGCCATAGAAGCCCCAGTGACCATGCAGACCATCATGGCCATAGCGGTCCCCAAAGTCGTAGAGGCCACCAAAGCTCCTGTAGTTGTAGGGGCTGCTGTAGTCATAGCCCCGGTAGCTGTGGAGGCCCCTGTAACTGTTGGGGAAGTAGCAGTCATCGTGGAGGAAAGTCATCTTTCTGCACTGAGGGCAAACCTGGAACACAGCAGCACAAAGAAGAGCCAAAGTGAGAAACGCTTCACAGTCACAGCTCAGAGCCCAAAGCCCTCTTGAGTGGTCCCATGGGGCCAAGGACAGATGCAATTTCTTTGTTACACCTCTTCTCCCATTCCCCTTCTCTCAACTTTACCCATCTACCATCATCAGATTTTTTTTCCCAATTAACCAAATATTTTAAACCATTTCATTTCCTTTCTTGCTCACCAACTGTGGAACAGACCTGCCACAACTCCGAGCTAACCTACCCTGCTTCAGGATTATTTTTAGTGAATATGGTGAGGAGTTATCAATCCTAAATTTCTTTTAGGATATCAGCTTTGTGTAAAGCTCTGCATTCCTGAATTTGTCAAGACAGCCTTCAGGAGAGTTAAAAAGAAAGAGCTTTAAGGTTAAGTAAAGCTTGAATCATCTGGTGTTTGCCATAATGACTCACCACAGCTGCTGGATCCACAGCTTCAGTCCACACTGACTTCAGAATGGGATCTGCAAATGCTAACCCACCCAATAAGCTACAGAATCACTAGCACGCATCAGAACATCTAAAGCAGCACCAAAGCATTGAACCTCCCCACTCTGCAAAGCTGTAAGCGCGGATACAAGACAGCAAAACCTCAAAATTCAGGAAGCTGCAATAATCCTAACAAATTATTAAGCCAGTATTTCTAATTCTCATGAAGGCTTACCGAGTTCACCAGGAGGAGGAAGGCAAGAGAGCTGATAGAGAGCGTGGAGCTCAGAGCCCTTTTTATACTGTTTCTTCGCCCTGGTGGCTTATCTAAGCAGCCTTGCATATTCAAAAGGTTTGTAGCCTTATTGGTTGGAGAATAAATTTGCCTGTACTCATCATATCTTCAATTAATATAATTTTCTTCATTGTTTGGGATTATTAGTGTGTTCTCAGCCTCACTTATGTCACACATATTACAGGTTTCTTTCATCTTACAATGTTCTAGGTCAACTACATTCCTGATACCATTTTATTGTCTTCGCTGTCAAAACTTGAGTTTATTTAAATGTAATATAAAGGCATCTGTAAGCTCCCAAAGCCATTAGAGAGAGAGGAAATTTCCTTACAACATAAAATCTTCCTACATTTGGATCATCAGAAACTCTGATGCATCGTGGCAGGGTCTTCCTATGGAATTTTCTGTTACACTACTGAGCAACTGCAGCAAAGAGAACCAGCACAGCCAACAAATAAATCCTAATTGCATTCCTCCGAAATGTTGATTGTGAATAAAAGTCACGCTGCTGCATAAGCAGAAATAATGTCTTCAACAAGAATGGAACGACTGCATCGTTTACACCTTAATTCATTGGAGGACGTGATCGTGAGCTCAGCGGAATGCAATGAAGAAAACAAGCACAAACTAGGACTGGAAAATAATAAATAATAAGAATTTGTGGAGATTTTGCTAAATGCTGCTTCCCAAGACAGTGATTTAATATTTTCTTAGTGAAGAATCAACCTCATGTATCAAATATAGTACAATCGTGAAGAATACTGGAGTTTTCTGTAGAACTCCTTGCATGACCTTCACCTAATTTCCTCCGTTAATTTGAATATAAAGTAAGGATAATAATGAGCAAGCAGAATGTTGAGGCATCCTCAGAATTTTGAATACCAAAGCTCTTCATAAACACTCATTAATGTTTTCAGTTTGCAAAGTGTTGCATTATTTTAATATTAATGGTTTGTCACCAAAAGACACCACGAGATTTAATAATACGGTCAGTTACAACATAGAAGCTCTCTAGTTTCTGTGTCCTAATAAGGTGATGCACTGTATGTTCTATGCAAGTCAAAAGCTAAAAATCCATTTCCAAAATAGGAAGAAATACATGGGAATATCCTGAGAGCAGAAATGGAGAAGTTTCTTGAAAATCAGAGCTACGGAATGAGGAACAAAACCAGCACTTCTGGCAAGAGAACCCCACCAATATCACCAGGCACGAAGCACAGGTCACAGCATTGCTGAACAGAGTGTCTACAGAACACTGCCTCTCAACACAGCAGAAAAAGCCTCCTCTTCTCCCCTCCACATTATACCACAAATTAAAATCCCAAGTGAATGGTGCATCTACACACAGATTGCGCAACCGGTAATGGCCTAAACATACCATCCACCCAACTACAAAGAATTCCATGCAATTTTACTAAAAATGTGCTGAGCCCATTTCTTCCTGTTTTAAGATGAAAGAAATTCTGGAGGTATTACAGGTGTGTCATCACATCGAATTTGAAAAATATGAAAATCACTGACTCTGATTACATCAGTTGGAGCAATAATGCACGCAATAAGATCCATCGTGGAGCTAACTCCGGAGTTCGAGAGGGTATATATACAGACCTTGAGCTCCAGAGCTTCATTCGCTTCTCTCGAGTTCCTCTCCTCGGTGAACCGGGTAAGTCCACACTGCCTCTACTCTACTCTTCTTGATATGTCTTTGTGTGTATATATGTGTATGCGTGCTGTAAAAATACGTGTGTGTGTCAGTTCTCAGCTGGTGTTTTCTAACTACTGTCAGCAGAGTGTTTTCTAACTACTCTCGGACGCTGTGTTTTGCCCAGGGAGGCTGTGGATGCCCCATCACTGGAGGGGTTCAAAGGCAGGTTGGATGGAGCACTGGCCAAGCTGGGCTCGTAGCAGATCTGGATGTTGGTGGCCCTGCCTGTGGCAAAGGGGGTTGGAACTGGATGATCCTTGGGGGTCCCTTCCAACCCAATTCATTCTATGATTCTATACGAGGAAAAAAGTTTGGGGGGATTCAGAAGGTTAAACAGACAAATGAGGTGGCTAAGAAGTGAAAAGTCTTTTGGTGAGGACATGGACTCACTCTGTTCCCTGCTGTGTGTTTCAGGTTTCCCTCCAACAACCAGCAATGACTTTCCACAGGGAATTCTACAACAACGAGCACTACTCACCCTTCTGCCAGGAAGACCTGCATGGTTTCTTGGGCCTGAATGACCACCGATTCAGGCACCCGTATGGCCTCCACTGGGGCCACCATCATGACTACAACCAACACTGGAGCCCTTATGGCTACAACAGAAGCCTTGGAAGCCTGTATGGGAACAGGAGCTTGAATGTTCATGGGGGTTATTATGGGCATGGAGACTTCTTTGATTTTGGGCACCGCTACCCCTTCTTTTCTCAGCTTGGCCACAGATACTGGTATTGAAGCTGCTATCCATGCTAAAGCAGCAGAAAGGCAGTCAAGAAATGAGACAGATCCTTTGCTAAGCTTATGATGCTGAGAAATGCTGGGTACCCACACCTCTGGCTGTGTTCAGTGAGACATGTGGGTGCCACGCTGCATTAACCCTATCCTATATGTAACCCTCTAATATTTCTATCTCTTCTGCTATCACTCTAAAGGGCAATTTGAATTCGAGCAAGTGTTGAGGCACCTGTAAAGTATTGAGGCAGCTGTAAAGCTTGCTGAAAGTCTTGCTTTACTCCACTAGGTGGGCAAGAAAATTTCCTTTTAAATTAATTTACAGCCACTTTGTGTTGCTATGTATGGTTCTTTGTCACTGAGAATCAGACTTTAACTGCTATGAAGAAGCCCACTTTGTTCAATTGCGAACTTCTCCGAAGACAACATGGAAAGAAGCTCCTGTTACGTAGCCACACTGTGCCTCATATGGTAGTGATCAGAATTTATGAGCAACTCTGAGCAAGAAACATGCCTGGACTGACAAATTCCACGAAGAGAAATCATCATCTGGCATCAGACCCACTCTACTTGCTGAAGACCCTTTTGTAAAGCTGCAAACTTATTATTTCTGTAACTTCTCACTCTTTATTCATTAAAATGACTCTGCATAGTAACATCAGCTGTCTAGTCTTCTCTTTTTGTCTTTGCTGACACACCAGCAGAAAGGGACCAGCAGCAGTTCTACTGACAAAACATATACTAAGATGGAGGTGTAGACTCCAGGTGCCAGGGAGCATTGTCACATCTCCATCTGACATATTCCAGCCCCAGCTTGCTTCCCAAATTAGGAAGAAGTTCTATCATTTTTAATTAACCCATGACCCTGAATTTATTCAACACTTCTCCAGAAAATCACCCCAGTTGTCTGTCTGTAACTGCTACATGTGCACTCCTGGATCAAACTGTGTTTTGTGCTTGACAAATGACTTCCAAAGGAAATATTATTGAGTGGAACTTACATTCAGGTGGTCTGCCAAGGAAAGATAGCAATGCTTCTTAGGGTTAGAGAAGGACACCCAAGAGAAAAGACCAAAGGCAACCAAGTTATGACCTATGGAGAAGTCCTCTGCTTTGCAAACTGAGCAGCCAGGCTGTTCAAGCAGTTCCTGTCTGCCTATACTATGTTCCCCTGGAACGCTGAGCAGCCTCGATTTAGATTTAAAATAGTAAAGATTATAATCTGGCACAAAATGAGGTGGTTCAACAAGCACACCCTAGACACAGCTGCATGGAGCCCATGCAAGCCCACTTGCACATCAAAGACATCACCAAGAGTCAAAAAGGCTGTTGTAGATGTGACTTTGAGGGGGCACCTCCGGGCTGATTTCTGAGAGATACCCTACATACTCTTTCTCTCATGGCACCCACCCTCATCAGCATTTTCTCAGCAGAGAGTGCTGAAGCTGTGTCCATAGGCAGAAAAATGATGATAACTGGCAAAGACTCCCTCGTGCTGTAGATGCTCTTCCTTCTGTTGAGCCCGTTTCTTCATATCCTTGGTACTTTTGTGCAAAGAATTTGACCTTGGACTGAAGCACAGGAGAAGACAAGGCCCACAGACCCAACTCTTCATCTGAGAAGCAGCAGCCTCAGGCAGGAAATGGGCCAGGCTCAGACCTCACCACTTTTTGCCCTACTTCAAACAAGATGGGGTCAGATAAGGACACCCTGGTGAGATGGTAAGGTTAGCACCCTCCTCCACCCTCACCTCCTAGCAGGACACAGGCAGCAGATCAGTACAATGCTTTGAAACAAGCAAAAACTGTTGTGACGCTCTGTATAATCCTGCTGCCAGCTGCAGTCAGCAGCAGGAAGGGCTGGGTTCCCCAGGGAAAACCTTGAATAAGGTTCGAGGCTCCCACCACAATAACTTCAGCTCATCTCCCTTGGGTGCCTTTAATTACCAGGCAGCTCTGTACCTATGAAGAACATCAGGCTGATCATAGCAGACCCAAATCATAGAACTGCAGCTCAAACCATCTCTTTACCCCTCTGTGCATCAGCCAATAGCACTGATGCTCTCCTCCCATGGATTAATCCCAAGGTCTCCCTTAGTTTCTCATACACCTGTCACAACCGTGGGTAAAGGGCACTTCCCCGTTTTGTAGGACTTTTTGCCCTAAGGCTTAAGAACAGTGGGATGATTAGAGGAACTCTGCCTGAGAGAACCACAGGGGATGGCTGGCTAATTTAGTTAACAGAAAACTAACTCCTGTAATTTCCCCTAAACTTCCGAATGGCAGGATGTATTTACTGCATGCATGTGGGAAACTGCCAATTTAAATGCACCTTGTGAGCAGCCCACATGAGGCACACTGCAGGATAATGCCTTCAGCACAAAGATGCACAGCCAGAGCAAGAAGCGCTTTTAAAGGGCAAGCCTATCCCAGATGAGACGTTGAGTCCCTTTGTGAATGCCTCTGGATTATTTCTCAGAGTACAGCATCACAGAGAGGAAGGCAAAGTGGTACAGGAATCTGCTTTATCAGAAGCAGAAATGAGAATCATTTCAAATCTTAGTTCTCTTTAGATGAATATTCCAATCTCATAATGCAAATAATCAACCTAAGAGATATGAACGACGCTTCTACTACCTTACAAACCACACCAGGGTCCTCTTCAGGTGCTTAATATCTAAAAGAATAAAAGATGCACTGCAAATAGCTCCATAGAAATCCACCAGCAAAACTTCTCCCTTTTACTGACGACTCGATGCTTTGTGGTGACTGAAAGGGTAAATTTACACTCCAGTTTATTACTGAGTTTTATTTCCAAATATGCCACGAGCAAAGTAATAAAGATCCATTCATCTGGCCGTTGAGGCTTAGGGGATTTCTTTTGTAGGGAAGGATTTATGTGGTTGAAGCTGGTTGAACCATCTCATCCAGCCACCAATTATGCACCATTATGGTGCCCGCCTGCTCTGTTTTCCTTACATGAGGATACGTCTCCAAAGAGCAACTACTCCCAAGTAAGGTAACATTCTAGCATTATTATGCTTTATTACTATCTATAAATTCCTGAGGAAATCTGAAGTTACATAAATGAACCCAACCAGAATTCCAGAGTTCTGTAGCAAAGCAGCAAAGCCTGACACAAAGCTAATGGCATTGGTTTCATTCTAGAAACACAAAATGCCATGCACCACTGATGCTCTTAACACTGCCATAGGGAGGTTAAGCCTGATGAAACCTGGCAATGAAAACACACTGAAAATAAAAGCCAGCTTTGATTCAGCAGCTTCACGTAACCAGGAATAGAAGCAGAGCTGTGAGCAGTAGTTTTTGCTAAGGGACAGCAATGGCAGGGAGGTGCACACAACAAAATTCCCAGATCTCTTCAGGCTATCACCGTCCCAAAGCAGGGCGATAGGATCAGCTCAGTGCTGCAGGGCAGAGACAAACCAGGAGCAGAGGAATACACACACGCAGAGCCCAGGAACATATTGCAAGGTCATGTTTAATGAGAAAGAAGCAGATCATACAGAGGCAGAATTATATGGTGCAGATTACAAATTGCTTGCAACCTGTGATTTGATGCGAGGTGATTCATATAATGACTGGTGCTGTTTCCTTATTGCAGAGACAGACCTAAAGCACAGAGCATGGGCTGGTTGATTCCAAGACCCTTTCTTACACCTCATTACCCACAGAAAGCACTGACAAAGCAAGCTGAAATGGGATCGTTGCCTGATCCCTACGCACTGTCACAATGATACCTACAGGCATCCTACTGGATTACAAACTCAGTCCACTGCACTGAGAACAAAGCACTTAGGAAGATGGGAAAGCATTGGGAAAGCAAAAGAAAGCAAAGGGTCATATGAGGAGGACGTGAATGGATTCTCGTTCTTCAGAAGATTGGAACATCTGCGGATTAACTTCACTGACAGCCTCAAAGATTCTTTGGTTCTTCCAAATGCTGGAGCTTTAGCTACAGGTCTACATTCTGCTCAGCATCTCCTGGATGTTCCTCTTCCAGCAGCTCCTCGCCAGGTTCAGCACGGTTTGCAGCTCCCAACCGGGTACCCCCGAGCCCACCGGGCACCCCCAGAGACGTGCAGACCCCCAGGAGCTGGGGCACCACTGAAACCACTTCCAACTTCAGGGGCTCCCACTGACCCCACGGTGCTCTGCTGCGGGAAGGTGCTGAGGATCGGTCCAGGGATGGTGACAACCACTGGCGGAGGGTAGATGACCACCGTCGAGTCGGGGCACTGCACCACGCAGGGCTCGTTGCAGCTGTTGGCCACGGGCTGTGGCACAGCCACCCCACAGAGTGAGGGACTGCCATCAGTGCACGGGCTTAAGGAGTGCGTCATTTGGGAGACGGTTGATCTGAGGTGCAATTGAACAATACAGGAAGAAGGATAAATTCTTACAAGCTCTACGATCAAATGTTAGAATAGAGAGCTACCAGCAGGTTAGAGGGAAAGGCAGAGTTTTTCATAGCTGGGTTCTTGGAAAACATCACCTATAAGGCTTATATCAAACATCAGATGTGGAAATGAGACTTCACGAATAAGTAATAGGAGCTAATCATCCTGACAGCATTGGAAGATCAGCATTTACCACAGCCAAGAGCCTAACAGCCACAATATGATGTATTTACATCAAGAAAACTTGAGCTTGATGCTACAGAACATTTGCATAGGGTTCACCCTGACTTAAAACAGGAAAACAAAAAAGGTTTCTATAGAAAGAAGAATTCAAATCAAGCTTACCTACTGCGCAACAGAAATAAGAGAAATGGTCGGACACGGCCTGATGCTGAGTGCTTTTATACTGGCTTTTAGACTGCCCAGAGCACCTGAGTCACCTGCGTGCAGAGCATCCCAATCAATTACTAAACACGTTTCTTTCAAGACTTAACGTCGTTAATGAATGTCAATTGTTTTTAATAAATCACCCTTCGTAATTATTAGCTTGCCCTTCCACCTCTTGTCTATTTCAGAAGTTGACATGGAGGGGATACTCTGCGCGTCAGAGAAAAAAACTAAAGGACCACACTGTTCATATTCAATGTCTCCTCCATGAGAGGATTCAGCAGCCAACAGCCAAATGCCTGCTTGGAAGAAGAGGTCTTTGACTCAGCCTAGGTAGAGTTGCAAAAGTGAGGGAAACGCTGCATTCTTGGCATGGGGAAGCTGTGTTCACAATTTGGTGATGAAATCAGGCTGATGCAAAGCCTGCTCAAAGCCTGGGCATTCTGTAGGCTTCTTCAGGCTGAATTCTGGAGCAGTATACCCAAATCAGTCAGCGCAGCTCTTCCAATTAGACACAAGGCACACGTGTCTTTAAAAATGCAAGCTTTGACCAGAAAAAATAAATAAATAAAATGGGAAGAAAAAAATAAGACTATATCTTATATAAATAAATAAAATGGGAAGAAAAAAATAAGACTATATCTTATATAAAATTAAGCATCCTCTGCTGCAAAGCTGTAAATTATGACCTGATAAAGGACATGACAAAAAGGCAATAGATAGGGTGTGGCTTATGCAAGACTTTGACAGCTCATTTTTGCCAGCAAATCATTTGTTCAATAAAAGGGCGCCTAAATCCATGGTAATAACACATTACATACCCAGAACATCGAGTTCCTTTTGCTGATGAATCGTGACTGCTGGTATGGGGTTACCATCAGCATTAAACACACTGATGGACGCTCAGGTTCACCAACACTCAGCAGCAGAGTCAGCAACAGATGCAATGGGCTGTGCCATACAGATGCTCCCCATATCCAGCTTGTCCATTCTGATTTACATTTTGCTGCTCTTGTGACAGTAGAGAGGACTTGCTGGGGCTGCCCTGTTACAGGACATCTCAAAGCCTTCCCTCTCTGAACAGCAGCACAGTATCAAGGAAAAGACATGTAAAAAACTGTGGAATACTTTCTGCCTACCAACAGATCTCAAAGGGAACCTCGCATCAGATTGGTAGAAAAACATCTTGGAAGGACAATACCAGACCCCACTACCTTATGTGTTACTGGGGGTTAGAAACCCCCAAGATTTTCACATTCCTTTAATTGCAAACTGAGATTTATCTTCATGCAATGCTTGATCATTATGATCCTGAGACGCTTGTCATTCCTTTGGGGAATTAGCCCTGCCTTTCCTATAATAGAAGATAACCATGCAAATTGCAACATACACCTTTGCCTCAGCCGAAATCAGAGAGCAATGTAACCCCAACCCAAGTCCTTAAGAAGGGTGGAATTCAAAAATCAAATCATCGCTTTCAAGTTAGACAACAGAAGACAGAAGAGCTGAATTTTCTTTTTAAAATACATTAACATTGTGTTGAAGAAAAGGAGAGAGCCACTCTGCCTACGCTCAACATCACTGCAGGGCCCACGTGCAGCACACAAAGGCTAACACCAGCATTAGGTGCCCAGGTGCCTTCTGAAAGCATTCCCAAGCACATCGTAAAAGCTCATTAATGTTCTACACAGCTGGTGATGTCACATGGATGTTTTAACAAGAGCATTGCAGCTCAAGCACCACCAGTGGACAAAGAAAGCAGTGATGCATCATCAACTGCTGAACCTCAGCCAAGTGTCACCACCTAAAGCAGCCAGAAGCAAATAAAGCAGGACAACAGCACATGCATCAACTCAACAGCTTGAAAACACTTGGGAATTACATTTCAGCACCTGAAGAAGCAAAGGTTTAAATGTAAATATGGAAATAGTCTTCCTCGTGTCAAGAAATAAACAGAGAGCTATCAATACCTCCAGGTACTCAGGTGCCGATAGAGCATGGAGTTATTCAGCATTTATCTGAACCAGTGGGATTCTTCAGTCATCAGCTGTGCATCGTATTTGCAAGTTCCATAATATCATGAAAATAAACCACTAAGATAATAGAATCATAGAATGCTTGGAGTTGGAAGGGACCTTTAGATTCATCCAATTCCAACCCTTCTGCTATAGGCAGGGATACCTCCCAATAGACCAGGTGGCTCAGAGCCCCATCCAGCCTGGCCTCCAATGCTTCTAGGGAGGGAGCATTCACAGCCTCGCTAGGCAATCTATTCCAGTGTCTCACCATCCTCACAGTGAAGAATCTCTTCCTGATATCCAGTCTAAATCTCCCCTCTTCCAGTTTAAAATCATTTCCTGTCACTACCTGCCCTTATGAAAAGTTATGAAAAGTTATAAAAATCAGCCAGTAGTTTCCTAAGGAGATGCTCTGAGATGGAAAAAGGGGAAGAAATGGCAAAAAGAGCGAATTTCGGTCGAACTGCCATCACAAATCATACCACGACCTGTATCAGTGCCCATACATCATAGCTCAGCTTTGCTCTATTGGTAATCCCAGATACCACACCCATACAGGCCTACATTTACCCACACACAGAACAGAATAGCACTGACAGAGGCTCTGAAACAACATCTTCATCAGCGAACCTCTCATTAAAATTGTACAAGAGCAAAGGTCTCCAAGCTGGTCTCCATCACAGCAATCACGGGCAGCAATTTGAAGGATGCACATTGGGGCAATGCCCACTCCATCCTTTAACCCCATTTCCAGCTGTATGAGCACCAGACACGAAGCCTCATAAAGTCAGGGAGGGACCCGCAACCTTTAAAAAGCATCGCATCAGACACACAATGAATGCCAGGCGTTGGGAGCATCCCTCCCAGCCCTGCTCATCCCATAAAGATTCAGCATTGAAAGAACCCAGCAGGGTGTGAGGTACATTTCATGCTATTTGGGGATCATGGTGCACTAATAATCCCCAGCGAGTAAAATAATTACAACCAATGAAAGCTGCTCCTGAACAAATTTCCCCCATATTAGGATTTGATCCACAGTGGCTCAGGTTTTCCAGGCAGTGTCAGAGACCGTATAAAAACACATATCTGCACACCTCCAATCCAGTTCTTACTCTCCTCTCTGAGCTCGGTAAGTTTTTTTGCCTGCTTTTATTTCTAATTAGCTAAATGTTCTCTTGTTGACGCTTTCGGTTTGCACCTGAATCTCCAGAAATGCTGCAATGAGAAATAAGTTGGCTGCTTCCTCTGAAAAATTTTAGCTCTTTCCTGTTTGTAGGCATAGATTAGAAGCATTTAAAGCTAAACCTGAGATTTACAGAAGCTCTCTCTGTTTGGGATGTGGTGATCTGGCAACGTTAGTATCTTTAATTTGCTTTGAAAATCCTGAATTCTACACTTCTGATGTAATAGAGAGCACTGATTTCAGTAATTTGAGCAACTCTGCGGGCAGCTGACCTCTACCATAGTAACCAATCTGGTTTAGGTGATCTCTACAGTGCCACAGAGGCTTTGCTGTTCTGTTTGTTTTACAAACTCAGGGAGTACCTGCTCTCAGATTGCAGCAGGAAGATGCTGACCCAGCTTCCTGCAGCCTCCCAGCTCTGCTGATCCCTCTGCAAACAAATTGCACCGGTGGGACCTGACCCTCAGAGCTTTGTTCTCAGGGCAGCCCTGTCTGGTTGCAAACACAGCTGCCACCACCTTGCAACACACAGACGCCCGAGTATCATTTGCTCGCGCTGAGCAAAGCTGATTTGCAGTCAGATTTTGAGTTTTAATTAGGAAATCTGAGGCCTCAGCAGTTTCCCCCTGCGTTTGGACACCTCATACCTTCCAGGTGTGACAGAAGCAGGTCTGATGGCCCACATTAGGCAGTGCCTCTACCCCCAGGAATTGAGTAGGGCAGCACTGGGTGCTCCACAGCTATGAGCAGACCTTCGTGATTCCTGCAGCCCTTTGGTCCCCAGCTCCTACTGAGCAAACTCAGGAGAGAAAGAGCAGGAGATAGAAGAGCTGGGAGGGCAACCACACAACTGCATCCTGAGATGGAGTTATATTTGACTTTTTAGTTATCTGAACATGGGCAGCTTGAGCCAGGTTTCAAAAGTTGCTTTTTCCCTAATGAACAGGCACCTAAAAAGAGCTCCTACGACATCACTCTGATGATCTTCCAAGCTGCAATTCAAATTAGTCAAGCAAATACTTCAGCTTTACCTAGTACTAGCAGAAAGCAATTCTGGCTTCATTTGAAGCAGCTGGAAAGCAAATAGCTTTCACTACACGAGATGAGAACCTCAGCACCAACCCTAGCTATGCTGTTGCTTCAGTAGCAGAAATATGCAGGTCACTTGGCAGCTGAGCCCCAGACTGCCCTTCCAGCAATAATAGCTGCCTACTTCATCTGTTGCTATTAAATAATGTTATTTAAATGCCAGGCTGCGTGGTTTCTGCTACAGAATGAGGGCTGAGAATCAGAGCAGCAAGCTCCAACAGCATAAAAGAGCTCATCAGACAGAAGCAGCAATCTGCAGGGAATTA